TGGCTCTGCCCATGCGGAGTCAGCCTCTTCACTGACCCCTTCCACAGGAGTGTGCTTTGCAAAGTTTTTCAGTTTGCACACCCCTTTTACGTCATCTTGGAAAACCTCATCTAATCAATAATAACCCACACTCCCAAGGCTTTTGCGTACAGGAATTTCCTGTGCAACGTAAAAATATGTACCATTTTTACTGGTGATGCCTAAAATGATCTCAAAAGGTTTTAATTTGAACCTATGATTTGCTCATGAAAACATTTTAATTGTTTTGCATTTACTGTTTAACTGTACCAGTTGTTATGTGGCTAAAAAGATCATTATTTATTTACTTGTTTGCTTAGCAGATGCCTTTATCCCAAGTGACTTCCAGTATCCATACAGTTCATGTTAATAATATCTAATTAAGCAATTTACAGTATATTTAGTTAATGGTAATAACTGAGAGCTCGCTTGGAATAAAAGCTAGGAGACACTGTACAGTAAACCCTCGGTTTAACAGACTTTGCTTTAACGGACATCAAATTTAAAAGACAAAATCTGCTAAAGGAAATTTTAAAGGGAAGGGAATCAGAAATTATACTAAATTATACAAGCAGTAACTAGTTCAGAGAACAGGCTTGGTTTATTTTTTTTAAAATAGGGCAAAACAGAAGACATAAAAGTATAAATGAGATGTAAAATACATTTAATGTACAATACTGTTAAAGTACTTGTTAAGTGAAATACCTGGTTTGAAGTTATTTGAGTAAAAGCGTGTACATAACATGACACAATACTCTATACATTTACAAAAAATAATTGAATTGCAATATTGTACACTAAAATGAGACAAATCTGTAAGAATGTTCAGTAAAGTATAACAACTAAAACAATAAATAATGTATTTTGTACAACATACCTTTAAATAGGTCTACAAAGCATGAATCAATGCTGTCCAATGAAATTAGTGTCAGGATAGAATTGCTTACTGTGTTGTTTGTGTTTTGTATGCTTTAGTGATTTTTAAAAAACAAGAACAAGTATTTTGAAAAAAAATACACTAAAATACTAACCATATAAAAAAAGTTATTTAAAATGCACAAATAATAAAACAAGGTAGAAATAAATACTTAATAAATTTTAAACAGATGAATATCAATGGTGCCCCATAAGGCTGGGTCCATTGGCCGATGTTGTTTAAATATATAATATTTTATTATAAAAAGGCACAGGAACAATTTTCATTGGATGTGTTAAAAAATCACTTGTTAAAAAAAACAACTGTTAAAAAATAAACCAATAGATCCAGAAATATTTTTCTCATATAAGGGTTTACATTGGGAAAGAAAAACTATAATTCGTGACTTATTAGACATCCTTCAATAACAGACCTCCAGCCTTCCTCCTGTCAGTCCATTAACCAAGGGTTTACTATAGTCCCAAAGCCCAGACCGAGGAAACGGTTTCTGAAGCATTGTCGTAGCACCTCTTACTTTCAGACAAACCTGGAATTCTCCTCCTCACTCATTTTGGTGGATGGGAAATCAAAGTAATTTTTCCTGCATGAAACAGGGAATTACAGATTGTGTGGCTTCTATGGAAGGGATGATTTACAGTAAATGACGTACATACATGTATAATATATTAGCAGTTACATATACTATGTATTGGAGGGGGTGTGGAGGGAGATGGAGTTTACATGTGGCAGCTGAACTGCATTGTCTTTCCCCTACAGTGTCAGTTGACAGTACTTTGCGTGTGGACTGGAGCCCAGCGAGCTCTTTCTCTGACCTCTCTCTCTTGGGGAACACTCGGACCTGTGTCATGCAGAGACTTTTGCACCAGACATCACTAGGCAGCCAGGACCATGCTGAGGTGCTGATTTTACTTTTGAGTCGCTTCTCCCTGTTGTACAATTTCTAAGAGACCAGTGAGACTGTGTATTGCTGCTCCGACCTGCTCAGAGAAAGTGTTCTGTTTGTGTTGACTGTGGTTTTTGCAAAAAAGGTGTGTGCAGTTGCTGAGCAGGGAAAGGACACACTGGGTTCAAAGGACAGGGCTTGCAGATACAACAACTAGATCTCAGAGTCTTACAAGTAAAATGACTATATCAAATAAATGATTAAGAGACATCTAATAACTAAAATCATAGTGATGGTGGTGGAGAGTAAGTATGAGTGTGATAAAATCTCTTCTGTCCTGCACAGACAAAGGAAGAGGCTTCCTCACTTTATTTCCAACAGCTGTGATTTTTATGAGCCCACAACCTACCGTTTGTTAACTCTTAACACTTTTTTTAATCCCAGAAATGAAACACAATCTGGGCTGCTGAACGGCAGTTTTCCGGGCCCTTGCTTCAGTGTGTTCTAGCACCAGAAAGGGAATTTTGTCTTGTGAAAAAGGTAAACATGCAGGAAAATAATTAAATGCTGCTCTTGGCATATCTTTTGCATACTGTACCTGCTTCAGAGACGTGACACTAAAAGACAGAAAACTAAACAATTTGCAGGGCTGTATGCAGCAAAACAGAGAGAAGTTAGGAATTAGTCCATGTTTTTGTTTTTCATGTTTTACTAATGACCAATTTAGCCAAAGAGTATTGCTACTGAAGAGTTATTCAGCATGGGTTCCTAATTCCAGTTTTCTTCAACAGTCAACAGTTCACGACTCTTTAAATACCTCTTCTCCAACTGATAAATATTCAAGTTTTAAATAGAGCTTCTTAATGTTTTTGCATGTAATGGTTCTTGTGTCCAATGCAAAACAGCTACATAGTTCTGCTGCTGAGACCCAGGCATTCCCTTTTTGGGTTACACCTCAATTTTGTTTTGTCCCAGATAAGAGTGATGCATGATAAGAGTCCAAAATAACAAAAAGACTAGTTGTCAGATATCAAGATGTTGACGTTTCTTCACATCACTTTAGTAAACTGACTGTTTTATCTTGTAATCATAGAGACTGTACAGTGATGTAATTACATGACTATGATCAGAGGGTTCCACACTATCATTAGAAACTAATTACCACCTCATTATGTTTAGGGAAATACTCATAAGAGTACACCCTTTTAACTTAGTTACCTCACAACATATATTTTATCAATAGAACATACAGTAGAAATAGCTAACTGATAGTACAGTATTTTTCTTTTTACTTTAAATATGCTTGTGTATTTAAATACTACCTTGAGATAATTTATTAAAATTAGCTTTCTGCAGTAATGACAGGACTAGGTTGGCATATTTTAATGTAATTGTGATATACATGATATTCAATGAAAACTGGTCTAGGAGGACAAGTTTTCCCAGAGGACAGTATTTCCTACCATTAATATAAAGATTTGGGAATTGTAGTTGGTGAGCTTTGGTTTTCACTTGGTTGATGAGAGCACATGCAGCATATGGTTTTTGAATTTGGCTGAACTGGAAGTTAATTTCAATGTTCGAAGTCTCTTAAATGGACATTATAATGATTTATCAGCCCCAGTCCATTTCCGGAATGCATTAGTCAGATTTAATCAATCCCTCACTATCCCTGAGCTCCAACTCTGAAGACCATATTCATGAAACTCCTGACACCACATTAGCCTAACACTCTATTTTATTCTAATTTAGAAGCATGACATTAACATAAGACAAGGTGGAAATATTTTTGATATGCTAATTCGGTAGTGCCAACTGAAATGTCCTGGATTTGTAACTAGACCAGTCTATTTGTTTTCATTTTCCAAGAAAGGATAAAGGAGAGAAAGAGGTGGCACATGAACGGTGAGAGGATATAGTGTCCGACTATAACTGTGAGGGTTAATCCAGACATCGCACTGTGAAGAGCCACAGCTGGAGGCACACATGAGATCTGCAACCTCACTCCCTCTCCTCTAAAGAAGAATAAACCCTACTGTATGAGATTCCTTGTAGAAGGATGGATCTATTGTAATCCTCCAGATTGTGGTGGTTCGCAAATAGGATTTTTGCTGTAGAGAAGTGGCCATCTTCTGATGTCTAGGTAAGGAACATTGGCAGATCACTGTATGACTTTAACCTGACCAAAAACCTCTGCTGTACTGCTTTTAGTCACTAGACTTCGCTTATGTAGACGGCCAATAACTAAGAAGATTGGAACTGCAGTGGAATGGGAGATACAGTTGTTCACCCTTGTCCTAATGGATTTTCTCATTCCATTCACAGCCTTTATGAAATCCAATCCATTTTCTGTTGAATCCAATTTGCAGTTTATTTTGCTAGAACAAATTAGTACAAAGAAAGAAAAGAAAAACGAAGTGGATATGCAGCCAGGCTTGCCGAGCTCACAACAGATGCTTCTTGTGATGAAATCATATTTTATGGCATTTTCTTTTTATCGCACAGGCGCATTAAAAAAATTACCCGCCACGCAAATGTTGCTAACAGCAATTATGGGAGCATCTACCACAGCAACACGTTATGCCTCATCAGTGAAACCTGCTTCTCAACTTCGTGTGCCTGATAAACCCGTTTATATTCTTAAGAGCATATCTGCTCAAAACCCTGCCCAGCGCTGAAAACTAGCGCTGAAAGACTGTCAGCCCTCATCACGGTGCTTTTTTCGTCACCAAGTCTCAGCCTGTATCGGTTTCTGCACAGACAATTCGCAAGCAATATATCTGTAGCACTTCAGGTTCGACCGGGAAGCTAACCACAACATCGGAATAGATTTTAAAGCCAAATTTATATTTACAGAGACGCACTGAAATGAGAAGAACTACTGATGCAGCTACTGCTGCTACTACAACAGGTGCTGTTACCACCACTAATAGTAATAACAACAACAACAACAACAACAACAACAAAAATGGAAATATTAGAAACATTATTTAAGCAAATAACGTAAGTTTGCACCTTAAAAAACATGTTTCAGATTCCTATATTCTGAAACGCTTGTAACAGAGGATGAAAACCGTTACTCGCCGATCCCGCAGTCTGGCATGCTTGTGAAGAAGGGTCAAACTCGGCATAACAGGTTGAACAACAACAAAAACAAAAGAACAAGAGTGAGATTCTCATATTTACTTTGGATTCAAACATTTTTGATTTACATTTTAAATAGACTTGAAGAGAAGATGGTTTGTGCTGTTGGTTATTGCATCGCTTTGCTCTCTTGACTTTGGGAGAAGTTAGCCTGCAGATAACATTGTTTTCCTTGAAGAGTTACCACATATTGAAAAGGTTCGTCATCCCCTCCTATTTCTCTTCTCCCCTCTGGACCCTTATTGCTTCCTGTTATTTTATTTAAACGATGTCTTCTCATGTTGCATTACACCGTGTAGCTATTCCAGAGAACAAAAAAAAATCGTCTTCGTTTTTTCGTATTTCCTTCTGGGAAATTAGGCTTGAGTTTATTTTTAATCAAAGAAGAAGAGAGACAATTTGCGCAGGGAAGAATGAAATCCATTCTGTCTATAAAAAAAGCAAGATAAATCAAAGCGGTCAAAATGAGATAATACGATGAAAGGACAAAACTGTAGGTGTGTGGGGGTGTCCATTTGTTGTACGACAAAGCCTTCTGGGAAAATAAGATCGCCTTGGAGGGGACCATACGGCAACCAGGCGGTTCGCACGTTAAACCTAATGAGGATCTTCTACAAAAGTGCATCATTCCGGCAGTCCGGAGCCGCTTAAATCGAGCTAGCCATATGCTTGCTTACCACTTAGTTTAACATAGCCTGTACGATTAGGAGCTAAGACTTAGAGGGGCTGACTGGCGTCTGCAGTACAAGCGAAGCACTGGTACAGTACTTGCTGCAAACCGCCCTTCACATGTTGAACAGGCACGATATACAAATTACCAGTAGTTCGGTATCTGAACCGTGCAGACCTCCTAGTTACAGCACACAGGTCTTCACGTCCAAGCGGCTCGGGGAAAAAGAGACTACCGAGGAGATGCGAAGGGAGTTGCAGCAGGCAGCAGTAACCACCCAATGTGCCGCATGTTACGTCATCTGCAAATCACTCCGCGTATCCTGGGAGAAATCATTCCATGGTGACGGGTTGCTATAGAAATACACCTTTCGCATAAAGTTGGGAGTCACAGACATCCGCTCCACGGCGAAGCCGGGAGAGAGGGAGACAGCAAAGCAGGCGACACGGCTACGTGGCATGTTCGCTAGGAGGGACTGTGCTTACGGCGTTTCGTCTATGGAAAGGCTGCTGTTTTCGGATCGAATCAGTGGTATGGTTGCGGAAGAAGTCTCTGGGGTATCTCAAAATTACTACATCATTACCTAATGTGCTGTATATACCGAGTTAGACTGGTTTGTGGTGAATGTTTGTGCTTGACAATGCTTGCATGCTGCTTAAAAAAAAAACGTGTCAACAGTACGAGTTGTCTGAAGAAGAGTAATCGGAGCCCCCAGAGCTGTCCAAGTGCTGAACCGTGGGGCGCCTCTTGCCCTGCCTGCCTGTCTGTTGCAGCTGGTGTTGTTTGTGTTGTGCGGTGTGCTCTCGCTGTGCACAGGCGGCTCTTCGCCTCCCTATACCTCGCAACGGGCCGTGTGAGCCTGCAGGCAGGGTAGAGGGGGTCCACTTCATGAAATAAACAGTGGTCGGAGAATTATTCCACACTATTTCATAACAATTACATGTTATGCTGTGATTCACTGTCTTTAAACGGTACCTTCGGGTACCACGTGGTCTCTGTTGTTCTTCAGGTCCCATAAATATATTCCTCTCTGTGATCGATGGATCCCAGTTCGATGTAAATTGTTTTTATCGTTAAATCACTGCCATCTCAATCATGTGAGTAGTCTACACTAAACACCGAGCCACAGGCGACCCTGTCATATGAACCGAATAATGGCAGCTTGAGCCCTTTTTGCTCTGTTCATTAGACCGTACGGTGTGTCTTATCTCCCGCTGGTCAGACTCCGTCTTTACACGGAGCGCTTTGAAGACGTCATAAAACATGTTTCTCTGCTTCTGTCATCTGCTCTTTCCGGCAGCCTTGAGCACCTGCGGCAGCGGAAGAGGTCCACTTAAGTCACATCAGCGGGGCTAGTGTTGCCTGGCAGCCTGTCTGTCCGAAGTACGCGCCTGCACTCGGCACAACTACGTGCAGATCTGTGTTAATTTTCCGGAACAAAACGGAGATCGTCCTACCAGAATGCACACGCTGGAAATCCACAGTTCGGCTTTCCAAGGTGCGCCAGATATGCTCCACCCTTGAGGCTACAAAGCATCGTCTCACGTCTTAAAGCAACACTTTGACTTTATTTGGTCGAAAATCAGGTTCTCGGATTGTATTGAAGAATGATGTAATTTTAGCAGACGTGTGGGGGGACGTGTCCTGATTTTTTTTGTGCCCATAGCTGTAAAAAGAGTGAATATAGTGTTCTCCTTTAAACGTTTCTTACAGCAAGGTTAATAAATTCAAATAAAAAAAATGTTTCTCCAAAACTATAGTTTAAGGGAATAATAATAATAATAATAATAATAATAATAATAATAATAATAATAATAATAATAATAATGACCATTTGCTTAATTGGGAATTATAAACTTTTCATTAACCACGTTTTCGTTTAAGATGTTAAGAGGGAAACAACAATTAAAGTGTTTAGCAGCTTGTCCGCTTCTGAGCCACACGTGTGGGGTTCCCTGGTGAAAGAATCGTATTCCAGTCTGATTTCTGGGATGCAGCTGGTATGAAAATGCGTGAAGGCGTGACGTCAGCTGCGCTAATACGCTCACTTTCCACAGTTTCCCCTTCTGTTGTTGCCCCGTTAGACCAGGCATACCCGCCAAGTGTCTCGTATCTCGGGTCTCTTGAAAGATGCAACTCTGGTGTGATCTGCGATGTGTTATTTGCACTGCTGAAGAGAACGACAGCTCAGAAGCTCGTCCCCTTACTGACATGTCTTGTTGTTTCCTTTTTCTTTCTAGCGCGTCTTTTCCTTGTTTATTTTAATGCAGCTCACGCACTGTGTTCCCTTCTACAAAGGCGTACAGTCTTCCTGCTGCGATGCAAATATATACATATATGCATCCATTACTGTTAACATAGGCGTGGAAGCTTTTAAAAAAATCAAATTAATGGCATCACTCAATGAATTTCTTGTTCCCTGCTGGTGCATTGATACAGTCCACTCATGGCAAGACTTTCCGAACTTTCTGTCAATACAGTTCTGCAGTTATGTGCATAAAACAATAAAATAGCAATGACAACGCCAACAGTTATCATCACTGATGTTGTTCTGGAGATAGGACCTTAATCTTATAAGTCTACAGTATAAACATGCATTTCAAATATTCCTGATGACCATCATGAACTGAGTGCTCTTGGCTCATTCTAAAGTTTTTGTGATTTATTAACTCTTTCTGTCTGGTTCGTCACAGCCTCATATACAGACTTACAGTAAATGTGATGGTGATGTTCATCACAATTAGTATTTAATTCTGTTTACTTTTTGTGCTTTGGCTTTGCTTAAATCCAATTAAACAAAGTCTGCTCCGACAACACTCTCTGAAAACTCTGGGTTTGTACGTTCCTGGTTTCTGGAAAGATGTGCAGTGACTGTATGGAGATCTGATAGAAATACCTACTCAATTTTATCCCATTTCTACTTGTGTTTAAAACATCATTAGAGATAAACATGACCTTTCATCTGCACATTTCCTAGGATTAAAGTTTTCGATTCTTTGGAGCTGCATTCTCCTGCAGTTTTTCTTAAGGTTTTAATGGTAGGTGCCCCTGAGTGTCTGAAATGGTAAAGAGCTCTACTCTGAGTGCAGGAAGGGCTGTATAGTAAAGAGACTACCAACATGAATTTGGTCAATGTTGTTTCACCACTACAGCCAGGATTTGTCAGCAGAAGATAAACATTTTGACTGAACATTGCTCAGGGGTACAGCTCATTTGAAATTGGTCGGTGTTTTCTCAGTTTCATGAACAACATTGATCCATTGTAGCTTGCCTATCACCCATTAGCCTGTAACATAATGAGTGTAAGCTGCTTCAGTCCTCCTTCCAAAACCTCAACCTTGCTGCTTATCCAATGTAGTGTACTGTGTGTCCAAAGAATGCAGCAGTGACATTTCGAAATATAGATCCCAAACTGAGGCGCATGTAACAAGAAAAATAATTGGGACATCTAAAGGAAAAGAAAGGTGCAGAAAACAGACTTTTTATGTTTGATTACATCTAATGGAAAATATTCACTCAAGGGATTCAATAAAATACAGAATTTGCTATTCTGTAATATGAAATGTCTTCTTTTGCTTATAATTCTGTCTATGTAAGTAGTATCGAACTAAATCTGTCCATCTAATCTATGTCTATTGATTCCCCTTCTCCTCTTTGATTGTATTAGAATGGTGCATGGTGTGTGGAGCACACAGTTTCACAAAGACCCAATTATAAATATGCTTCAATGTCTTTTGCAGGTAAATGTTGAAGACACTGTCGAAATGCTACCAAAATCAAGAAGAGCTCTTACAATTCAGGAAATTGCAGCACTGGCCCGGTCATCACTACATGGTAAATTCCTTCCCTTCTTTAAACATGTGTTTGAGAAGATACATCTCAACTATAGTCTCTGTGACTCCTGTTTTTTTTACTTTCATTCTAACAGAGCTCTCACCTGTTTGTTGTGAATTTAAAATACTTTTCAGTACCTAAAAGGTAGATGATTTTGAGCTTTAAATGTTTAACATGTACCTTGCATATTAAGTAACTGTCAGCTCACTATAAACAATAAAGACACCAGTGACATGAACCAGTTGTGTTAGTCTTGGGGTTGTAACCAAAGTATTCCTTGCAGGGTGGCTATTGCAGGGTGGCTATTGGCATACAGTCACCATACTAGAACGTATTTTCAAATTGTATTCAGCTTCACGCACATCACCTTCTGTGTCAATGTGGCAGGCTTTTGATACATCCATTGAATAAATATTACATTTTTTGTAGTACCCAGCATCTCTTTACTTATTTTACTTACTACAGTCTTAGAGAGTGTACATTTTTATGTTCATTTTACACCATTCTAGGTTTTTAAAACATTTAGTCAATGAACAGTTCCATAAATAGTTTAAGCATTTATTATGGATATTTCCCCCTTATAATTAGGGTACTGACTTCAGTGTGCCCAGCTGGTCTATGCATCCCTCTTAATATTAAGGTGAAAAATAAGAGGAAATTTAATTTAAGGTCTGGCAAATGACCAAATATGTGCAGTAGAGCTTCTACCTGGACTGCGGTAGAATAAATACATGAAACAATTAAAGAGGGGAATGCATATATATTAATTTGCCCATCAATTTTGCATCCTTGCACACTAATCTGGTTTTAATATCTTGGTTTTATTGGCTACAGCAATATCTTTTCAAATAAGGAAATATGAAAATGCTACACATGTGCTGTAAAGCTCTCTCTTAATGCTTGTCATACATTAAAAAAAACCCAGCACTCAAAGTGTTTATGTTTTCTTTCTGAACAATGAGCACATGGTTGTACTTAACCATGAAAATAAATTTCATTCAAAAAAAGAGAAGAATATAGCAAAGGGGCCAATTTGTTTTGTAAAGAACAATTCCAAAAGCTGAATTAAAATTAAATTAAAATACACGCACAGTAAGTCTTTCTGATGTGGCAAAGGGACTAGCAGCTGCTTGAGTGCAGTCAGTTAACAGTGGGATGTATTCCATCTGCAGAAGTTATTTGATTAGAAATTGTGAAGGTAGATCACAGGGACGTTTGTATCAGCAATACAGAAGGACGTGAATCCATTTCAAACACAACACATTTAGTCTTCAATGTTATGCAAAACTCAAACCAACCTGCCAGCCAGCCTGAGAGCTCTGAAATAAATGTGAGAGGCGTGACCTGTGGACTCACTGTCTGGTTAGTAAGTTCCCTGAATAAATTATTGAATATTGCTCCTAATTCACTGCCTCTGACAGGCTCTCCTGACTGTGCCAGTGCTGCCCTTTGTCTGGTCTGAAATCTTTGTTGTTTTGCCTACCGACACTGCAGTTAGACTTTAGATGAGAGGCTGCAAATTACCTTAATTCATTCCTCGTGCTCTATGATGTACAGTATGAGCAAAACCGCTCTTACATCAAGACTGATTTCCCTGACTCTCAGAATCGGAGAAAGACCGGACAGGGTCAGTACTGTGTTGGGAGACCTTTATGGAAAACCAGGTTGCTGCTGTAAGTGATGTCAGTGGACCAGAAGATGGCTCTCTTCCCTCTGGACTAGGATCTCAATTTCAATGCCCCGGTGTCGTGACCAGGGACACTGAGATTATTATTATCTTTTGCAAAATATGTTGGAAGACTATCAAACACTTCAGGCTCTGTGACTTTTCTGACAAAACTCCTCATAACATGGACAGTTGTCCGCTCTCCACCTGTATCAAATATCCTGATTTGTTTTCACACACTAGATCAGATGTGTGGAAATCACACACAACAGTCAAACACCATCTTGGGCTGCTAGTAGTGTTATAGCCAGGTTGCTCCTTAGAAAAAATCGCTACAAACAATTACCTATTAATCATGTATGCAACTATGATGAATGCTAAATGTTTATTTATGTATATACATATTTGTACAAGAAAATACATTTTGGAGTCTTTGTTCTCAGGAATTCTAGAGCATAGCTGACTGGGTGTTGCAATGTATATGGTGAGATGGCATGTCTTATATAATCAGAGAGACCCTTTGAATGACATGATATGAGTGGATATGATAACCCACTTTCCCCCAGTCCCTAGTGAAGTCAGGTCTGGAAATTATGGTTACCGCAGAAGGTGTAAAATAAACATAAATATTGATCTCGATGAACTATTTTGACATGTACCCGTTTTTCTAATTGATTTTTAACAGGAAATGTATCATACTAATTTGTTGATTGATGTTTTTGTCATATCTCATGTTTTGTCTTTTCAGTACCTAGAATCTAATGTGACAGTGAGAGTAAGAAGTGGTGAAATACAGATTTGCAGAAAATACAGATTTAGGTTTAATTTAAAGCAAATGTAGATTGCCTTGCCTGCAAAGACTTAAAAATTATTTAATTAATCATATCAGGCATGTGCAAAGTGTCATTTGTAATTCCAGTGCAAAATAAATACTTTACATCAAATTAAAATGTATTGATTTTATATGAATTATATTAGGTTAATAGCTGGGGCTATTCCAAACCTATCTGTGTGGAGTTTGTATGTTCTCCCCATGTTCATGTGGGTTTCCTCTGGGTGCTGTGGTGTCCTCCCACAGTCCAAAGACATACTTGTAGGTTAATTGGCTTACGGGAAAATTGGCCCTGGTGTGAGTGTGCACATGTCTTCTGTGTTTGTGGTTGTGTCTGCCCTGCCATGGACTGTCACCTAGAGTATACCCTGCCTTGCACTTCTTGTTTGCTGGATCAGGCTTTGACTCCGCAGTGACCCTACATAGAAAAAAGTATTTAGAAAATGGACGGATAAGAACTGTTTTAATACTTAATTTCTTTAATACAGTACAAAATAACAATGTTCAGATACCTCGTGTCTTAGGACAGCTTTCTCTTGTGGACCCTGGCTAATATGGGACATTGCTGCTGCGTGACCCAGACTAACAGTAACCCTCCCCCCCTGGAGCTGTTTCACATCAATAACTACTAATCTTTAAGCTCAATGCTCTTTGCTCAAGGGAATCACAGTTTCTCATTGCATATGTGCAAAATGTGCAATGAAGGGAATCTTTTGTTCTTGGATATTGAAACTACCATGAATGTTTGCAGAAAAGCAATACTTTTCTGTACTGATATATAAACTATGGACTAAAGATGACAGTTTTGGAATCTGTAACTCAAGGTCTTGGGTTCTCACTCAAAAGGGGCTAGGAGAACTTTTATTTTAACTTTACCTTAGAATATCATTTAGATGCCATGCCAGGCTAATAAGTCAGTACTAAGGTGTGATTTGCAGCAGTTATTTGTTTTTTAAATGGATATATTTTGTCACATTACAATGAGAAACTGTCCAGTACGAGTACACATAGTTGTTAAACTATCCTTAAAAAGATCAGTAAAAAGGAGAAGGTAATGCAGTAGTGCTGGATTGATTTGTGATTTTTGATACACCTAAGACTAATGTAGCCTGGTCCTGGAGGTGACATTTCCACAGGTTTTATTGGTCTTTTTAAATTAACAAACAGACTTGGAGAAAGGATAAAAAAGGTGATTAGCCCTTCATGTAATTAAAAGTGCTGATAGAGCAAACCCCAGAAGACTCTGCAACACACCTTGGGCGCTGCAGTTGTCCGCTGTTGATCTAAAGTGGTTTCCCTGAAGGGAACGCAGATAATAAGGCAGAACTCTAGCATTCAGCCCTGTTTGAAGCTGACTAGAGCTGACACTGCACTGCCTCCCTGACGTTATTCAGTGGATCATACATACAAAGCCACAGCAAAGTTGTAGTAAAGCATGACGTGATGGTAAAAGCACATGATACTGTAGTAAAGTGTGATGCAAACTACAGGAACCAATGGGTGAGCAAAATAAAATTAAAAGAAGTGTCACATTTTAAAATTTAAATTGAGCTTGCCCATTTTTTCCTGAAGTATGGCTTTGGCTCCTCTGCATGCAGGGATCTCCCAGGTGGTGAAGGACCATGTGACGAAGCCCACGGCGATGGCACAGGGCAGGGTCGCCCACCTGATTGAGTGGAAGGGCTGGTGCAAGCCCACTGACTCCCCAGCCGCATTGGAGTCCGACTTCAACTCCTACTCTGACCTCACAGAGGGAGAGCAGGAGGCACGATTTGCCGCAGGTACTGTACTTGATCCTCTTGTCTCCAAACCTAGCAGCTAACCATAATCCACTCAGGAACTGGGCTAGAGGGCCTGCTACAGTGCTTGTACCTCTGTGGGCCGGTCTGAGAGACTTACACCTCTTTTATTTCCCATTACAATTGTTGTCATATATTATTTTTAGAGTTGTGGTAGACAAGCAGGACTTCCAATTCCTGATCCTTGGATATTCTACCCCTGCATCTTCTTTATTTTTATCCCCAGTGAACCCTCAGGCAATTAATTGACTAATGAATTAGATAATAACTAAGTGCCCTTGAGCTCTTAAAAAAATATGGAACGGGTTTCACGTTTCTTTGGAAAATAATCTAGGTATATAGCAGGCACCAACCTTTCAAGAACACACAAACAATTTCAACTGTCTAATGGACAAACGTTAATAATTCAGTTAGGGGCTCAATTAAGAAATTAAGAACTCAGTTTGGAATGAAAGGTAGAAGACACTGGGGTCACAGGGAAGACTGGGAAGTCCTTATGTAGGAAGATGAGCCTTCTGTTCTCTAAAATTCACACTCATTTGGTCAGAGGATTTTAAACTGACAACGAGTTGACATTTAGTAACTATGATATTAAATTTAATAACATAAAAATAACAAATAATAACATTCAAATAAATTCATAAAATGAATAATGAAGATAATTTTGCCTAAAAGCCATGTACTGAAAAAATTAACGTGCCATATTTCTAATGGTGAAACTCTATGTGTAGGATAATTGTTCTTTTTTAGCTATGCTCTGTGATTGCTTAGTTTCAGAGTTGGGATTCACAATGAATGCTGATTGTAGTGCTAATGAACACATGAGTGGTGAAATAAGCTGACATGCTTAAGCTTTTGTTTGAATTAATGGCAACCTCTAAAACAGAGTCCACATCAGGCCTTTTGCTGCAGACGAACAGTAAAATAAAACACCTGAAAGTCTTCTTGTAGTGTATCCAGAGGTATTACCTTCTAATAGTTCTGTGCTGTTACAATGTCTCCTTTTTCACCTCTGCTCTGGTCTCAGCTCACCCTGTACATGGAAAGCAAATGCAACGCAGGTCCCCAAAGCCAACAGGCATAGCAGCTTTACCAGTACATGGCTGTACTACTTTCCTTCCATTTACCACACCTGCAGTTTCTGTCCTGACAAGGCAGAAGAACACATTTACTTTACAGTGCAGCACACCCGGGACATGTAAAGTTTATGGGATTTGCACACACTGCCTGTGGAGCACTAAGGTATCTTTACCACATGACCATGAAACAGCAAAGTAATTTTTGGTTCTTGACCCTGGCACTTAACTATTTATTCCAAAGTAATTCTGTTCTAAATCATCAAATTAATGATAATGGTCTGTTTAAGCCATTTATTGACACACCTTTATTCTGTGGTTACTTTTTGTAGTTTAATATACTCTTTGTTTCTCTGTTTAAAAGCTCACAAAACGGGATAAGAGTCAACACTGGAGAAGACACTGAGGCCGTAAATCTTACATAGGATCAAAGACGCATAGACTCCAAGTCATGTGTGATGACCATAATTCTGGAATGATGCTGGAATGTTTGGCAGTATTTTGTCATTAGATATATTCAGTTAATGCCAAAACTATGCAGCTATCATTTCCAAATCATATCTGCAATCTGTGTAAATTATTTTGAATACTTGTAGTAGTGCCAATACTGCCACTGATTGGCCCAAAACACAAGAAAGGAACACACATGAATATTGGCCTTTGACTTTAAACATTAAGAAAACACTGCCTCCAGAAGTTAACCCATAAATGGAAATAGGTTCACATCTCATGATTCATATCTAAATGCGTACTTTGTACAGAAGGAATGTTGGAAGATCTGATCCCACCATTTTTTGAAGGATTCCCAGAATTCTGTTCCAACAACATGAATACACAGGTCATTTCAGGCACCCGCAATCTCTTCTCTTAAGGCATGCTTTCTGTTATCAGTCCTAAATGCATTACTATACCCATATCATAAAAATAACATCTTGAATTAAGAGAGAGTACTTCTCATGGCTGGAGGTCTGCCATTTGACAATTCTTTGCTTTTATTGTAGCTGAGATCTCAGTTATTTAGTGGATGCTTTATTTGAAATACAGTTTTGCTTAAAGAGATTCTTTTGTTTTCCATTTGGAACCTCAATATTCAAGACATCTATATTTTTTAGTTTGCCTGCAGTGTGCATTTTTATGAGTTACCAAGTGTTTGCCTAAGCAATTGAAAACTGAGCTATGACATGTTGATGCTGGCGTCATGGGAACAAGCCATGGGAAGGGCAAGATCTTTCCCTACAATGTTCCTTCTAGTTCTTCCTCAGAGCCTCTGCCTGCCCCAGGCTGCTAGCAGGGAATGAGGCTGTCCCTGTGCCATCTGACAGCTCTGCGCTTCTTCCCGTCTCAGGTGTGGCAGAGCAGTTTGCTATTGCTGAAGCAAAACTGCGCGCCTGGTCATCTATAGATGGTGAGGACTCCAATGATGACTCCTACGATGAAGACTTTGGCCCTGCCAGTGAACCTTCTCAAACACTTCAAAATTCAGGTACGTCACGGTGCAGTGCTAGTCCTATATCCTTGCTTGCTGAGTGGTGGATTGCCTGAGGAGAATCACATGGATTTCCTGTGCTCATGGTAGAGAAATGTGGTCTTAACAATACAATGCAAGAACCCTGCCAGCAATTCTAGTAATATTAAACAGATTTTCTGACTGTCACTTTTGTGGAGGTTTTATTTTGCCAATCAGTGAATTTGTCAGGACCACTTTTGGCTATATGAAGCATAACAGGACTAAATATCATTACACATTATTAAATTCTTGGAGGGGAATCTCTTTAGCACCAAAAGAAAAGTAGTACAGTAGTCTGTTCAACACTGCCTGGTGTAGAAACTGCCTTCTTCAATTTGATGAGTCCTACTCACATGTCACTCAGTTGAGAGGAAGCAACCTACTGATCGATTCATTTATTCAGAAGACAGGACAGCTATGAGTGACTCACACAGCCTCCTGTTCAAAGTTCAAAGGAGGTCCTGCCACTAGGGGTCTCTGGGGTCAGATCAACACTGTCTCACTATCTTGATGTGGTTGAAACGTCCTTAACAAGGATTCAGTTTTATCACCAAAAAGCTTATATCTTGAGTAGAATAGGCTAAGAGCCCCTTTATTCCTGTGGTTGGCTTGGAGAGTTTCTCAAAACTAGTCCTCAAGTGCTACAGCCTAGCAGGCTTTATGCTGCTTTTTATATTATTGATAGCTTTAGACCTAGGAAAGGGTTTTAACAGGGCTGACATATTTGGAATATTCTTCATCTTATTGTTTTCTCGACTGACACATTTCCTCGAAAATGAGTGCAATATACACTTTCTTGTAAGAAAAATATTCATAACTGAATAATACACTTTTTATTGCACAAGGTTTTAATAGGAGAATGAGACACCGTTTCAGATTGATGCCTTTTTTTTCCTGAGTATCACAAACCTTTGAGTGAAACCAGAACAAGGGAGAGACTTTCCTGGTTATCGCTAGAAAAGTTTTAAAAAATTTAAGCAATTCTGAAAGAAAGCATCTGGATCTGAAATGTGCTGCCAAAGGCTGGCTTACAGGAAACTATACAAGCTATAACTTTAACTAAACTATTTAACTAATAAAAGAGCAAGTGGCTCTGGCTGACTAGAGGAGCAGAGCGCTGGACTACAAAGCTACTTGTGTTCTGTTGGTCTCTGTTTGTTCAACAATACCAATGACTTATCCAGCAGCAGTGACCCTATTGACTTCCTTTCTTTTTTGTTCAGTGTGAAGGATGATGCATATTAGACGTGCCCAGCTCCAGTCCACTCAATACTGACCCTAACCCGAGCCCTTTTTGCTTACACCTCCTCACGGAAGTTATTTTGTAGGTGGAAAACACCCCCAGCCTCTCATCCTCCCTGTCCTTTGAAAGACAGAGCCTACAGTCACTGGCATGCAGTATATACCCACTGCAGATTGCAATAGCCTTTGGACTTGGAACAAGAGCAGTTTTTGTTCAGTAACCCTCTCTCTCCAGGTTTTTGCCTAATTCCTGGATTTTAATCTTTGGATGTTTATCCTGGTGGCCTTATTCTCGGTCTCTCTCCGCATCGCTCTTGGAGAGACCTGTCATTGCTGGGGATGGGAGCTCTCAAGGGAGCGCTGATGCTCAGTGTATTTGTAGTGTTAGGAAATCATCGCTGGGATTTCGCTGGGTTCCCATGTCCCACTGCCCTACTTTCCTACCTTCTGCAAACGATTTCCTGGAGTGGCTCAATTTGATGTTCCCATCTTTTATTCTGGAAATTTAATTCAATTACCCTTAACCAGATGAGCACAGGAGGAGAGCTCATCAGTCCCGTAGAGTTTGTGCTGACAAAGTCGAAAGGATTTTCACAACATTCGCCTATTTTTTTTAATCACTGTGGGATATGAAGCTGCAGCATTAATATTGACCAATTTTCTTTTCTCTGTTCATTGCAACTGAATGTTTCTGAAGTGCAGTTGATGTATCAGTTTTCATTTAGACACCAGTTAGAATCAGACTTTAAATCAGAATATCCCAGGGCAGTTTACTCCCTTTCCTCATCACTCTTTTCACCTACAGAGCATGAAGTCTTAATTATGCTCCCTAAATTAATACAGGATGAAGACAATTCTGTTTATAGTAATACCCTAGTACTGCATTAACTGGGGCTTTACTGAATGTACAACACATATAATTCAGTGGTCTGCTTTAGATTTTAATAAATGCAAGAGAGTGAGATGGATATGAAGAGTCTGCTTGGCTTAGCTCACCTGCCTGAGGGAATTGGCAGCCTCATCATTCTTTCTAGTAAACCCATCTCGATACTGGGGTACTGAACCAGGGATATGCTGCAGGGGTTTAGGTGTGGTGGGAGGGGTACAAGAGAAGTGTACTATGTACTATGACTCAGGTCTGAGATTTATATGCTCAGGCAAATGGAATTGTGGGAGTTAAGAACCTAAACGTCTGCTTAAATTTCTATTGTAACTATGTCATAATTCTATTTCTGATAAAATATAGTGATTTCTGAATCATTCAACTCTCTGAGCTTACAACCATTTATTTGGCTTTTCATGGAAACAACATGATTGTTGGCCATCATCTCCATTCCCTCTTCCTGACCATTGCCAATCCAGTTCTCCTGGACTGAGGAGAACCATAGTGGTAAATACATGCAGATGTCATAGGTTCTGTGTCCACATATCCCTTCGTCCCATTCCGGAGAGTTTTGAACACACTCTTCAAAGTGCTAGCAATGAATTGTTTACTGCCCTTGTTGGACATCTTTTGTATATTTTCTCTGTTCTCATTAAATTACTGACTCTTTTGGCAATGCTGCATTCTTCTAAAAGGTGACAAATTAATGCAGGACCTATTGACTCCTTTGATCTTTAAGGCATCTAAAATATTCCATGTATATGGTACTTAATGCTTTCTGATGTATAGTATAAAGAGTTGAATACTGTCCTGGAAACAATTAACCCTTCTTACACTCCTTGGAATTATGAAGTACCTGTCCTGCTCCTTCCATATGTTCATTTTGAGTGACTTTTTGATTTTTTTTCCTTTAAGCAGTGGTTAAATTAGTTGATCTAGTGAAAGCTTGTGATGCTTTTGGCCTCAGGCCATGTTGACTGACAGAAGCTGAATTGCAGGATAGGCTGTAGACTGCGATGAAGTGTCACCAAAACAGTGATAAATGAAGAATCTTTATGGAAATGTTCTAAATAAAGGTTTTTGCTGATGCAACAGCAACATTTGTATGTATTTGGTCAAGGATTTCTGGGACTAAATAGGCCATTAGAAGCGACTGGGTTAGGGGACATTCCCAGAATGTTTGATGCATGTTTGTTGGATTGGGACGCAGCAGTTTTCTACTTTTGTTGTTGCCGTTACTTTGCCTTGATTTGTTGTTAGCCTTGAATTCTGCAGGGACCTGGTTCTGTTTTGTACTACCTGTTTCATCAATGACTTTGCCTGATCTTTTCCAGACACCGTCTCCTCCTACCCCAGCTACCTTCGGGACTTTCTGCACAGCCACGTGTGCCAGCAGCGGAGCTCACGGCAGGGCTCCAGTGAGCAGGAGAACAGCGACACCTCACCCACTGTCTCACCCGACACCCTCTGCTCCAGCCTGTGTAGCCTGGAGGATCACCCCCTGCTGAAGGACCTGGGCTCCTCTCCTGTGGACCTGGCTGCCAAGATCCTGGGGGCACTGCAGGGTGGCGAGGAGCTGCTCTCCCGGTTGCAGCGGGGCAGAGAAAGTGCCTTCCGGAGCCTGGGACACCTGGTCTGCGAGGACTCCTCCTACTCTGTCTCCTACACCGAGTCCTGCTTCTCTCCAGAGGATGAGGAAGACCTAGCCTGCAAGGACTATGACTCGGTGTGCAAGGATGAGTGCGACTATCCTGGTCGGAGGAAGGTGTCAGATGTGGCCTCCTCAGGAGTGGTATCCCTGGATGAAGAGGAGGAGGAGGAGGAGCAGGAGGAGGGGGAGGAGGGGAACCAGTGACTGTCCTCTTCATTTTTCGTTTGGTTTCCTCTCCTTTCCTTCACCTTTCGGAAAACGTTTTTGGCATGCTTTACTGAAATGCCCTTTCCCTCCCTGCTTGTGCACCTTCCTCTCCTTACCCATTCCTCCGTCAACCTGCCTGTTCCCCATTTCCTCCCTCCCCTTCCCCATCTATCGTTTGCCTGGTTCGATATATCTATACATTTTTATTTGTCTTGACGCGTCCAAACAATCTCTCTCTCTTCTTTGGGTTCCGATTCACTTTGCAATGCCTTTAGCACAAACTAATTGCCTGGGGGTTTGATGCAAAGGTTTGAGCACTTCACAGATTAAAAAAAAGAAAAAAATCTTCTGCATGACGTGTTAAGTGCTGAACTGAACTTGTGGGCTGATTTGTTCTAAAGCACGGTTTGTAGCTCCAGCTGTTCTTGTCCTCTTTTTGGTCAAATCTCCTCCCATTCCTTACCTTTTTCAAGAGCATCTACCGTCTGAACGTCATGACACTGCAACCCAACCTCTCCTTGCCTAAAAAAATCTATAGCATCAGATCGGCATGGCTTTTTTTGCTGGGTATGCCAAAACATTAACCTTTGACTAAAGATTATAAGCAAATGCTGGAATGTTCTTAAACTGACAAAATTATGTCTTTTTAAAATATTTCTCAAAAACAAATGAAGAAAAGGTTATGCTTTTATTGTACTTAGTTTTATATCATTCAACATGTTGTTGTTCTTGTTATTATGAAGACTAATGGTGATACTGATGATTATGATCATTATAGCCAGAGGGGTTGAAAGCTGTTCTTTTTTTTTTTGATTTTTCAAGTTCTCACCGGGACAAAAAAACTGAAAAGGAAACGCTTGCAATGGTCTTAAAAGAAGTTTTGCTTCGACAACACCAGGGAAAGGTTTGGCTGAAAAACCAAGAAAGCATAAACACTAGTTTTCAGTGATGCAGTAAAAGCAAAAGTGCATTACGTCTCAGATTTTCTATATTTTTGTAAGCTCTGTCATGCTTTCTCTTGTGCGGCGTTGCTGTCCTAGTGGTTTGCACGAAGCTAATGTTGCCGTAGATATCTCCTTTTGTTGTTATTCCTGTGCGATATGGTCTACAGGAAAAGCAAACTTAAAAAAAAAAACATAAAACAGTTAAGAGGATACTGTGATATTGTTTGTTCTTGTCACTGTCAAGTCCCTATTGAATGAATTTATTTATTTTATTGTATAAAAAGTCGTTCTCCTTCCTAACTTCTTTGCAGTCAGTATGTCAAAGTACTTCAACCAAGACATGTCTCTCTCCTCTCTTGGCTCTCTCTCCGGGTTCCTCCTCTCTAACTGCACTGTTTGTCAACCTTGGCTGAACAGAAGTACTGTAACTTTTTGAACAATAGAAACCAGATTGTGGGTATAAACGACTGCAAACACCGACGTTTTTAGACTGAACAGTCTTTACAAAAAGTAAAAATGTAAAACAGTTTTGTTTCAGAGACTATATAAAAAGGAAGCAAGAGGATTTTGTTGCAGAAACTGTCATAACTCAGGGAGTGCAACTAAGAGCTCCTGTCAGTGGGTTCACATTGGATAAGTCTTGTTAATTTGTAATAGTTTGTGTTGCTTTTTAAGAAACATTGCAACTTGATTACAGCCAAGCTGGACACAATCTGAGCCACAGGTTTCACAGCTGTACATATAAATGGCAACTGGGAACAGTTTCCAAGTTCTCTGTATCAAGCAAGCACAGATACTGCATTCCCCTAAACCCATGAGCAAGATCAAAGGGGCCACAATTGTTCCTGTGTGTGTAAGGCATGACCTGAAGAACCTTGGACTGTGATCGGTCAAGGAACTCCAAAGAAAACAATGACCGATACTGAGAGTTCTGTCCCACAATAACTCGGATACTCAGCAAGCTTAATGCCAAGAGAAAGATCTGTCTCTGTTGCCCTTAACCTACTCAAGGTTCTGAGGCCCTTCAAACCTCTGAAATAACACTAAAACTCCGACAGCAGTCCCTGTACCTGGAAACCGAAGGAAGGAGGACTTTTAAACTTGGAAACAGTCTGATTTTCACTATCAAAAGCATGTTTCTGGGTAGATCAGACTGCTGTGAAAAGAAATGGAGCACTATGGTTGAAGGTGACGGTAAATTTCAATCAAGGTGGACAGGCAATGATGGAAAAAGTCTGAGGCAGATTTATATTCCCTTTAAAAAACATCATACTGAAATATTGCATAACATAATTTAACATAACATAATTTTGTAGTAACCTATAATGACAAAGAGTGCTCTGCCCATACTTGTGTAGTACTACTTTCTGTGACAGAGGGGAGAGAGACCTCAGGGTGCCTGTAAGGGCTGTACCACACCCAAAAAACTGCAAGGGGGGCTTTTGATAAAGGTGGTTATCAGGATTGGGAAAGTAAATGTGGATTCTCTGGTCTTTGGTTGTCCATCAGAGGAGAGGGCAGGGGTCTCTTTCTCATACCAGCCTGACAGATTGACAGGTGCAAAACTGAGCTGCAGTGAGCTGTAAGCATGGCTGTCTTGATGAGCATGTGGCTCATAACGCTGTAACTCTGATATGCAAGACTTGTTAATGTTAGTATGTAGAATTCGAACCCTAACGTCAGGGCACATCACAAGACCTACAGCATGAACATGACACATTCCACAATTGAATGGGCATTACTATCAAAGAATCATGTTCTTTGATTCTCATACTGGACAAAATGAATATGGGGTAGAGAGGCGAGACAGTCTTTGCTTCTTCTATTTTTTGTAACAGATAAAAATGATATTTTTCTAGACTTCAGAGAGGTCAGATGAGAAAGTTAAAGTGAGGGTCAATAACTCAGGTACAAGTAGAATGTTGTGCCTTCATCTCCTTTCCTATTACTGATCACTAAAGCTTTTTTAACTTTCCAACCTCTGATTTATTTTGCTGAGTCCATTGTAAAGAATTCTTCTCTCTCCATCTTGATCATAATGCCTGGGTTGCCAAAGGGTCCAGTGTCACTCTGTTTGAAACCAAAGAGATTGATTTTCCTGCAACGATCTGAGTTTGGGTTGACAATTGTTTGTGAGTTGTGAACAATTTGCAAAGATTCACAACAGCTGTTATCTCTAACTTACTCTTCTTATCTGTGAGCTGAGTAAACTTTTGCTGCAGGTCTGAACCCTATGGATTTATTCATGTATGGCCTGTCATTAAAACTGCCACTTGCACCCTGTCACATGACAGGGCAAAGCTAGCCTGTTTATTTGTAAAGAAAGACCATTTAGAATTACCTGTGGTGACAAGCAATTTAATTGCAATTATAAAAATCATCAAGGAACAGTAAATTATGCATTAGACAATTAGAATGAAGTCTTTCTCAGTGTAACTGCCATAGTAATTGAATGTTGTCCAAGAAAAGAGGACTTGAATGTGAAACTTAAGACACCTTAGGTGCCTGAGCTTCAAACCTGCTCATTTGTGATATTTTAAAATATTGAGCTTTCTTTAACAAAGGCCAAGATTTCCATTTGTGGTGTATGTCTGAGTATAGACAGAGAGTTCTACACAGAAACACACTAACTATTTTTAGCAGAAAAAGCCTTTATCGATTTGCTAGTATACTTAAATGTGCTATAATGTTTTGTAACAACTACAGCTTGTTATTTTCTAGAAATGTGTATTTATAATTGTATGTTACATTCTGAAGAAAGCTGTAGCTTTGCATATTGTCTTAATTGTACCTGTTGGTGAGCTAATAAATTCATAAGAAGTGCCAATGGCAAAAAACTCAATCGAACACTTTAGCAAAGAACGCTCATTACGGTTAGTAAATTAGGGAATGATCTTGACTGCCAATACATCCATCTGCAGTTATAGAGTAAAGAAACAGAGGAAATAGGCACCACAGTGGCAACACTGTGTTTCATTATATTTTAAAGTGAGGAATAACCTATGCTTGTTCCTTCACAGCCTGCACAGTGATACAGCTCCCAACTCCATCCTCTCTCTATATAACATATATTGTATGTGCTATATACAATTTATTATGTATGATCACGATTTCTATTACCCAAACAAATGCAGTGTCACATCTTCTAAATTACATTTTCCTCAATCACACAGAAAAGATCTGCTTAGTGTTTTTTAACTGGAAATGCATTATGAGCTCTTGGTGGAGTAAATAATTCTAACACTCTAGTCAGTTGAGGTAAATATGTGACCCCTGCTGCAAAGGTCAGAGAGGCAATCCTGCATGCTTCCATCCTCATTATCTGACTCTGTTCAGATCAGCCATCCTAGGCTCTTTATTTCTTATTATTAGTTTTTGCTTTTTTCCCCCATTCTCTGTGAGCAGAGATTTTCCTGCCCTGCCTGCAGAGATGGTAAAACGCAAAGATTAATTTACTTCTCGCTGTCTGAAGCATTCCACAGTGGCCCCAGACTCTTAGATTATGTAGTCACTTGCACTTCAGCATATTAACTGTTCATGGCAGACAGCAGTGTCTTTCAACTGGCTTGTCAAGCACTGCAACTCCACTCTCACTCATGAAATGCCATGAAATGACATTCTTTTCGTATCTTTATGATGGAGTGCCTTAGTTCCTTAGTAGGCGCAGCCCACAGTGTGTGTGTGTGAGTTGCTATAAAAAGAAATGACTTTTCTAAGGGGAAGAATCTATTTTCAACATGGTGTTACCACCTCACCCCCCCACCTTTTTATCTCAAAATGTCTCCAAAATGGGTAGGAAGATCAAACTACGATAGCAAGTCTGACTATGTGGGCTCTGACATGACAGTAGATAGCATTCTACCATTAGTCTCAGAATGCCCTTGTACAAATTTTAATGTACAAATGAGCAGTTTTGGCACAGAACACAACTGCAGGGAAGCCTGCACATCCTCTTCTGATAGCTTTGCATTGTGCACCACGCAGTGCCTGCTATCATGCAGGAGTCTGAAATTGATACTATGGGTGTGGAAGTATTCTGGGAAATTTGAGCAGTCCCAGTACTGTTGACGGTTTCTCATTTTTTATGTCAGGGCTCTGTAATTAAGGTTTGGTAAAATGGTGTTCAGTTTCTGGGCGAATGCAATAATTCATTTGCTTGAACTCACCTGGATTCACCTTATGTCACCCCCGCTATTTGCTTTAGCCCCCCCCCCCAAATCCTAACAGATTCCAGCTAAATTCTTTGTATTCTGAACAGCTCTGCATGTGCTTTTGTTTCTGGTGCTGCCAATATTCCCTACACAGTGTATTCTTCATTATACATGTGCTAGCAAGCCCCTAGACATGTAATCCAAAAGGGCTGAAGATTTTAATTTACTGTAAATGCATAGGCATATTACAAAAAAGACAGTCAAGTCACGTTTAACCCCTGTTAACCTTTCCTGTGGTTGCGTTCTTTAATTAATACTTCTTGCCTCTGAAATGTAGTGGTTGCAGTTCAGTCAAGCACTGCTCAGCAAGTCTTCACAAGAGATTTCACAAAAGGAATGAAGAAACGATAAGGACTTTCTAGGATGTCTCCCTACCGGGGAGTAGGGCAAGGTTTCTTTGAAGCAGAGGTGACAAATATTTGACTGCAAGGGCCACAAGGCATTTCTCAGATATACTGTAGCTGTACCATTAACCACATTACAGTACATGAACATGAGTAAAAATGGATAATGACTTTCAGCCAGTGTTGGATAATTCAGCCAAAACAGCCATGATCTAAATTAAGTCATACTGTGACTGTGAATACCTTAAATGCTTCAAAAGTTGTGCAGGTCACCCCTCTTATAATGGCCCTCATGAAAAATGCATGAGGAGAGACAAAACCCAAGAACTAAATGTATTCGAAAAGTGTTGAGTGTTTAGTCGTTGTCTTAACCTCCTTAGCTGAGAATCAACCACCTCCCCCATGCAGAGTGAGGAGTGACTCAGGGGATGCAGCAGAGGTTGAGATGGGGCCCAAGAGGGATGCAAAAGATGAAGAAATGTGAGGAGAGAATGTTCATGTCTAGTTTCACAATGGCAACCTCTAAAACAGAGTCCACATCAGGCCTTTCCTAAATATATTTAGGAAAGGATTATGAGTTAGGGTCAATGAGAGAACTTGAATTTGGCTGCTGTCATCCCTCCTGAACTTTTGTTGCAAACTTGCGTATCAACAAAACTACCTGCAAAAAACTTCAAAAGGTTTTTAAAAAATGAAAGGCAAAATTTGTGGTTGTGCTCACCATGGAGAGATGAACTTGACAGTGGCTCAGGCAGGATTCTGCACATGTAATTTGGTTCTTTCTCTTCCCATTTTGATTCATTTGAATTAACTCATTAAAAATCCTAGAAACCTCAAACCCCATGTGAACTCTCTGAGGTTTATCTCCCAAAGTCGGGCAGATCTCTTACCAAGGAAAGTTCACCACTGACTTCCACTAGGGCTGAATTAGGGCTAAAACTACACACTTCCTCTGATATCATTTCATTCATTTTGCGGTTTATATCTGATATAACTTCTTGTGGGTTTGACTTTCGCTGACTGAGAGAATCCAGTTTACTTTCCTTGTTATGAACACAATCTTTGTTATTTTTAATGACTGTAAGGCTTAACATTTTCTTGCGTTGAAACTGCATCAACATAAAAACATTTTTATCTTCTGAAGATGTTTTGTATGTGATGTTTTTCCCCAACCGTCTCTGCTTGGTTTGGGCTTTCTTTACATTGATCTGGGGGACTGTAATGCTGGTCTCATGGCTTCTTTGGGAAATCTGTTCCTCTCTGTTTTTTGTAGACATCTTCTAAATGATGAGTGTAATGGTGGCAGATCTGTCACAGGTGTTTTCCCCCCCCAAGAACAGTATGCTTTCCTCCCTCAACCCACTGCTTCTGTTACTAGAAGAAGGTGGGTAAACTGTGAAGAAACTCCATCTTCAGGCAATGATAAGACACAAAGATGAACCAGACTGATAAACATCATGGAAACATTTTTGTGCTTTACCACTGCAATTCGTCAGTGATACAATGAAGATGGATCTCAAACCATTTATCTGTCATTTTAGTCCTCAGCTAGGTTTCAGGCTGTGCATGCATGAGCAGCTCATGGTCCTTGCACTGCCTTATGTCTGCCTCACAAGCAACAGCTGTGCTGGGACTCTCATTATATTCACGTGGAAATGGTTTCTATTCTCATATGACACGCAGCTGCACAGGAGAACAATGCAGAAGAATGCTACAACTCGCATAAAAACCTGTGCAGCGGACTAAATCCAAGATCCTAGAAAGGCTGATACCAGATGAAAGATTCTTTCATCGACAGCATGAAGGTGAAGAAGTCCTCAAGTTTGTGATTTAAAACACCTTACCGGACGCTGTCAGTTGATGCCCAAGATGTTTTGCATCAAAATGCATTCCAAACTGGTGGTTAGAAAGATTCAGTAATATTGATTACTATCATATTTTGAATATTTTTCAAGTGGAAAACAGTCTTTTTTATGAATCTTTGCAGATTTGAGATCCTGACTTTTGCTGAGGAGGCCACTGTGAACTGCTTTTCTTACATGCTCACTGTTTTCTACAGTTAACGTTCCTCTCTCGTTCCCCCTTTCTTTTTATTCCTTGTACTTTATTTCTATGAAGTTTCCTCTGTTGCAGCATCTGCCATGGTTTACTGTTATGAATAAAAGACGTTCATGTTATTTGCAACTTCTCTGTGATGTGTTTCCCTTTTTGTTCTCCTTCTACAGGGGTGAGTGCTTGGTTGTGACTAGTACCTGAAGAATAAAAAGTCAAACTGATCTGATCATAAGAAAATTCTGATCGGATTCAGAAAAAAAAACTACTGGTCCAGCAGACACCCCAGAGTAATATAATTAGATTTTTTTTAACATGACAGAAAACACACCTGGGCTGCCTTTCCATCTAAACTGCAGCATGAAGTGTGCTGCCAGTTACATATCCCTGCCAACAGGCTCTGAAATTTCTCTTCAGATAACAGTTCTTGGATTCTGCTTGACAGCTTTCGGCTTTTTAACAGGAAATGAACTCCACAGCCAGAG